CAACAATCTGGGTCCTCATTTTATCCACCTCGGAAAGACGGAAGGCTGAATCAACCTTGAGCCAGTCAGGATCGAACTCCTGACTGTGGGCAGTCAGCCTGCAATACTGCATTCTAACCATGGGAGGGAGGGAGGAAGGGAGGACATTAGCAATAGCACTTAGACTTATATACCGCTTCACAGTGCTTTCCAGCCCCCTCTAAGCGGTTTACAGAGTCAGCCTCTTGCCCTCAACAATCTGAGTCCTCATTTTACCCACCTCGGAAAGACGGAAGGCTGAGTCATCCTTGAGCCAGTCAGGATCGAACTGCTGGCAGTCGGCAGAGTTGGTCTGCAAATATTGCCTTCTAACCCCTGCGCCACCTATGAATCAGTTGGCAAGCATCCAAATTTTGACCGCATGATGCTGGAGACGTTGCAACAGTTCTTAAGTGTGAGAAAGGGCCATAAAGCCCTTCTTTGTCGGTGCCGTCGTAACTTTGAACAGTCACTCAGTGAACGGTTGTAAGTCGGGGACTACCTGTAAAGAGGAGAAAAGTCTTGGCCGCTGTCTTCCCCTGATGAGTCCTGCTAGCTCAACCACTCGGCTGGTTGTCACCAAGGATTTTTGTCTTGTCCCCTTCCCCTAAATAGGTTGCTATTTACCAAGCAACCCGGAAGCGATTGTCCTGGATATCGACTACAAGTCGGGAACGCCGATGCAAAGGTATGGCCTGGCACCCTTTCCCGGCCTGTTTTACTCCAGTGAAATAAAAATAAAATAGGAATTATTACTGTTACTGACATTGACTCCTTCTTCTTCCTCCCAGCGCTGCCAAAGCCCCTTACTTGGCCAAGTTCAAGGTGAAGAGGTGTGGAGTGAGTGAACTTGAAAAAGAAGGTTGGTGCAATGCCCCCTCCTCCTCTTCCTCCTCCTTCTCTTCCTCCTCAATCTCTTTTTCCTTCTTCTTCTCATTTTCTTCTTCTCCCTCTTGGCCTCCTTCTCTTCTCCTCCTTCCACCTCTTCCTCCTCTTCCTCCTCCTTAATCTCCTCCTTCTTAATCTCCTTCTCCTTCCTTTTCTCCTCCTCCTTCCTCTTCTTCACCTCCTTCTCCTCCTCCTCCTCCTCTTCTCCTCCTCCTCCTCCTTCCTCTTCTCCCTCTTTGCCTCCTTCTCTTCTCTTCCTCCTCTTCTTTTTCCTCCTCTTCCTCCTCCTTCTCCTTCCTCTTCCCCCTCTTCATTTCCTCCTCCTCCTGCTTCCTCTTCTCCTTCCTTTTTTCTTCCTCCTCTTCCTTCCTCTCCTCCTCCTTCTCCTGCTTCCTCTTCTCCCTCTGAACCTCCTCCTCCTTCTCTTCCTCTTCCTCCTTCCACGTCTCCCTCTTCGCCTCCTTCTCTTCCTCTCCTCCTTCCTCTTCTTCCTCCTCATTGGTAGGAGGAAGTGAAGAGAAATTGAAGTCAAGCTCAACTCCTGAATGCTGGCCTAACATCTTTGCAGTTTCTTTGGCAAGATGTAGAAGTGATTTGCCACTGACGGGGCTTTTTTTATATATCCCAGCCTAATCTACAGTCTTCCTAGCTAGCCCGTCCAAATACTAATCATCATCATCCTCCTCCTCCTCCTCCTCCTCCTCCCCCCCCCCACTTATGACTACATCACAGAAAGGGCAGAGAATTAACTGCTGGCTAGAGTCACCTAACGGACATCTCTTACATATTATCGTTTGGAATGTAACTTCTTCAAAAACACCCCTCCGCTCCCACTCTTTCAGGTTTGCGTTGCCGTTCAGATTCCATAGACGAAAGCGGAGAAGACGGGAGGGAGAGTAAGAAGATTTGCTGGCAGGCCGCCATCTTTAAAGTGGGCGATGACTGCAGGCAGGTGAGAAAGCTTGCAGGGTTGTCGTCTTAAGTCACGTCCTGTGGATATTATGGACGATTTTCAGCCATCGTTGTTGCAATGGGAGGAGGGGGGGGGGTGTCCTTGGTGCTCTCTGAGCTTGGTTGTTTCCTCGCAGGCGTTTCATGGCCCAAACTCGGGAACATCATCAGTGCTAGAAGGGAGCGGGGTTTGTAAAGTGGGAGAGGAGGACTGTGGGGTCCTCGGTGCTCTCTGAGCTTGGTTCTTTTCCTGCAGACGTTTCATAACCCAACTAGGTAACATCATCAGTGCTAGTAAGGAGTGTGGCTTGCTGTCAGTTTATATTCTGTGGTTGCTCTGTCAGTGTTGGTAGGATGGCCTTGGAGATTCTTTGGTTTGGCTGTTTATCTTGGCTCTTCCTGTAAATGTGTTTTTATTTTTCCATTTTCATTTCGTACAGTCACATATATACTGTGCATAACCGGGGCCATATAACAT